AGAGAGAGAGAGAGAGAGAGAGAGAGAGAGAGAGAGAGAGAGAGAGAGAGAGAGAGAGAGAGTTTTGTTCCATTTATTGTTATGAATGTGAGAGACAAACGAAGAGTGGTGGTTAAGAAAGTTATGGCGGCAACAACATTAACGTCACATAAATGTTAAACTTTGATGTGTTGCCTACGACGACAACAATAATTGTTACCCTTGTCTTTCAAGGGTGAAGTATCATTCACTAAACTTGATGAGTCGCTAAGTGAGTAAACCATTCTTTTGTAAATCAATCTTGAGCGCTTCTCGTCGGATAAAACGACCGACATTACTGAAGAAGAGTTGCTAAGTGATTAAACCATTATTTTGTAAGTTAATCAATAACACTTCGCATCAGATAAAGCAACCGACATTGTTGAAGAAGAGTTGCTAAGTGAGGAAACCATTATTTGTAAGTCCATCAAGAGCGCTTCGCGTCGGATAAAGCGACTGATATTGTTGATGAAGAGTTGCTAAGTGAGTAAACCATCCAGATAAAGCAATTAATATTGTTGAAGAAGAGTTGCTAAGTGAGTAAACCATTCTTTTGCAAGTCCAACCGATCGAAGGAGGATGAAATACAACCCTAAGGCTGCGGTATAGTGGGCTTCGGCGTTTGTGTCAAGGTGTCGCATTCGGCGGTAGGCGACCAAGACATAATGTGGGTTCTTAAGAGGCAAAACAATTTGGGGGACCGGTCCTTGACGAAATTGCGGACTACCTACACCTAGCTCTGGTATGAACGATACTTTTGGGAAAAGGAAGGACCGGTCCTCGGGTGGAAGCGAACTCCAAAAAGAAGTGGGGGTCATTGGACGGGTCCACGGGTGGAAGCGGACCCCATAAAGAAGTGGGGGCATGTGAACTGCAAAAGGGACAGGGAGGTCAGGCGCAACGAAACAGGCGTTTTGCAAAAGGAAACTTTGACGATTTTTTGTGCTCGGAGGAACCCGCAGAAAAATATGAAATTTTGAGAATCCATAGATGAGGTCGTGTTCTTTCCAGAAAAAATATTAAAACATTTTCAAAAGCTCATTTAAACCGTGAAATAATCGTCGCGCCGATTTGGCACATTTTTCATTTTTGTCACTCAGCCATGAGTGGGCCAATTGAAAAAGTACTAAAAATTCAGTGAGTTTTCGCGCTTAAAAGAATGCGTGAAAAACCTGAAAATTTGATTACTCGTAAATTTTATTGTGATCTTTCCAAAAAAACACAAAATAAATTTTTAAAAATCATTCCAACTGTGAAATAGATCGCGACCACAATTTGACCCATATTTTAATTTTTCCATCCAACCCCTCTCTCTCTCTCTCTCTGTGGTAGGCCCCCCCTCTCCCTCTCTCTCTATCTCTCTTTCATGGCTAGGATACTTTCGTTGGCGGTTCGTTCAAAACCTTCCCTATAATGATTTCATCTCACATGATCTTGGCGGTCAGAGAGTGGTTGTCCTACAACTTGAAGTGGTGGACACGTCCATAGGCAATGCCTTCTTCGAGGACCATGTGTAAAAGAAGACAGGATAAGTGGAATATTCATTTCCACCTTGGAATATAGTGTCTCGTGCACTCTTCCCCCTGTGACTTTCGTACCCACACTCTTCGCCCCCTACGCTCCTACAAGATGCCATGTTTTAATTGGATGATAGCAAGTTGCTTAAAGAGGTGTTGTTGCACGTCATAGAGGCTTAGGTAATTGCCACACCATAACAACCCAAAGTGCCTTATCACATGTAGGGTAATTGTGGATAACGAGTTCCCTCCGCTTCTCATAGTCTTGTCCCAGTAGGACTCGCCTCCCACTTTCTGCAGCAAAGATGCTTACTTTTCCTGCAATCTTCATTTGTTCATTTCCTTCGCTTTCTCCGACAAAGATGCGTACTTTTTCTGCAATCTTCACTTGTTCATCTGTACCCTTCCTCTCACATTTTGTTCGAGATCCAGTCTTGTCAATCCTGCCTTTTCATGCACTTATCATGACCAAAAGCACCGGCACAAAGCGATCATGTTAGTTGAACAACCTCGCCATAGCTATGTCCTCATCCCGAGAGACTTTTGTTGGCAGCTCGTTTAAAGCCTTCCCTCTAACGATTTCATCTCACATGATCTTGGCGGTCAAAGAGGGGTTGTCCTCCAACCTGAAGTGGTGGATACATTCATAGGCAATACCCCTCTTCGAGGACCATGTGTGGAAGAAGACATGACAAGTGGAATGTTCATTTCCACCTTGGCAATACTCAGTACTTGGAACAACTGAACTCCCGAACCCACCACTTGCAGACTGGTGAGGAGGTTGCCATGCATCAAACTGGGAACTTTAATTCGACAAAATATGTGACATTCCGCCATAATTAACACTTGTTTGTCCCCCAAGGATACCATAGTCGCTGCTGGTCATGATGGTTGTTGAAGAGCTGGTAACGATCATGCCATGATGCTTGCACCATCCATATCGTCGATAGAAACGTAT